TAATTTTAATTTTATGTTTTTACTTGTTTTCACATATTATATACATGTACATATTGTGGCTAATAAACCTAAAATAATATTTTATTATTTAATCAAGTATCGAGTAGAGAAATGTGTACAATATTTTTTTTTTAAATAGCGGCACCAAATTTTTTACAGCCTATGGGCACTGTAGATCTTAATCCAGGCCTGTATATGATACAAAGCCATGTAGAATCTTAAATTACCAACAATTGACCATAGATGACTGATTATAAGACTTATAAGCAATGGCCAGTTTCAAAATATTTAAATCATTTAGGAAAACTTTTAATCACAATACTAAAAGAAATAGTTAAGATTAAATTAATATTTTAAGTCATGATACTATTATTYCAACTGTAATATGTAGTAACTAATAATATAAAATAWTGAAGTTACAATTCAGATATTAATTAAATTCATAAGTATCAAATACATTTTTTAATGTATTTTTTTGTTTATACCACGTGTATGAAAAATAATTGTATATAATGTGTATATACTTTATTATATGCATATTATGTATACCATTTACTGTAATTAATATTTATAAGTTTATAACCAGTGATAATACCCACTCACATCTCTACTTATAAGTAATGATATTAAAATAACGACTGGTAATGGTTGCTAGAAATATGTATCTACTATCACCTATTATTGTAAAAAAGTATTCCCAACAATAAGCTTTAAATAACAATGCATACTCAATTGTTAAGAGTTTTAGACAAAAATAAACCAATTTTTGAAGATTTTAATCAAATTAAATTTTGGCAGATAATGTAAAAAGCTTGATTAATAGAAACAATATCACTTGTTAAATGTTATTTTTCTCATAAAAAGTAGATAAAAGAAGTTGATAACCAAACCCCAATAAGATAAATAAACTCYGTTACCTGTAGCTGCTGCAGCCTCAGTTCCTAATTCATTGACATCAACATATGCCTTATGCACAACTTTAGTCACATACAGATCACCATCTTCAACAATATTAGAAAAGTTTGCAGCCCGTGTAAACATTGTAGGACATCCAAGCTAAAATATTATATAAATAAATAAATATATTATTATTTTTTATTATTTACTCACATTAGATAATGTTTCTTCTAATTGGAGTGACTGTTCTAATTTAAAACGAGGCAATTTGACTGTCACATGATGTTGAGTCATTTTATTTGAAATTTCGTGCAATTTAATTTTAGAAAAGTTATTTTCCAGATCTTTTAAACCATCTTTAGCATCGGGCAACAAAATTATCATTTTAAAAGCATGGTGCTAAACAAAAAAGTACAAAATAATACATTTTTCATAATAATAAATTTTCATTTATTAAGTAATATTCACTTCATAGGGTAATTCAAGTGCAGCAAATTTTAGATCACTATCATGATAGTATTGCAAATCGTGCACGAGAGTCATCATTTTGACTGTTACTTTGTTGCTTGGAGTTACATAAAATGAGTCATCTTCTGCATCATTAAATTTATGAGCCCAAGCACTTTTGAAATGCACAGCATTTGCCAATACTAAGGCAGTGGCTTGAGTAATAGAGTCTGTAAAAATAAAAATAACATTAATATAACTTAGATTATCTATGTTTAAATGTAAACATAACATAATATAATACGTTAGTAATAACCTTTGGGAAATAAATCTTTGATTTTGTTATTGGTTTTGCTTAAAACCCAATTATTTATATATTGGCGCTGTTGTTCAGGATCGTTCTTGAAATTCAATTTCTCCATAGATGAATTTAAATATTTCTTAGAATTTTCCACAAAACTATCTTTAACATTAAAAGCTGTATCGACGAACATTCCGGTGGCCAGTTTCAGGTTATCATTTTCACTCTAAAATAGAATTAAATAACTATATATAAATAACTAGTTTCATACAGTTTTAATTATACTTTATTTAATAACATTTAAAAGACTAAATTTTAAGTATGAATTACCTTGTTATTTAGGTGGAAATTAACTTACTATTACTATAGATTTAATTATTATTAATAAAATCATAAAGTTATAAATGTTATCTTTAAATCCAGACATCAAATGATATACTCACTATTAAGTCTTCCAATAAATTCTTATATGCTTCCATTGAATGAGTAGTTTTATTTAAATGTATAACGTTTATCATTTCGTCAAAGGTTTTTGAAGCTGCTCCAACRCTAGCCATAAACATAATCACATGGATACTGAATGGTGAGTAAAACATATTACCCGTTTCAGTTTTGGCCAATTCCTAAATTATTTAAAAATAATAATTAGTTCAAACAAACCATATATTTATAGCAAAAAAGTTCTTTACCTTATACAAAGAAAACGAAAAATCATGATTTGCCAAGCTCAATGCTTCTATATTAGAGAGTGCCATATTTTTAGGATCTGAAAAGATTTTTTTTTTACTTTTATTAATTTACACTTGACTCTTAACATAGATATGTATATTCAATAAGCAATACCTAGATAGGTAACTACTAATAATGTAGTATTTAATAACCAAGTATGTAATGGAATTGGGATTTAAAGAGTGCAATAAAGAAATCACCTAATTAGAAATTTAAAAATAATAATATAGGTCATCAATGATAATCAAACAAAATACTTTTATTTTTCAAACATTTTCATGCAAAATTATATATAAAAATCAATTTGTACTCTCTGCTCTAAAGATTTATGAATTAAATTAAAAATAAAAACTAATAAAAAGAGAGAGAAAATTTAAAATAATATTTAATAATATTTTGTATTACATTATTTTGTCATTTAATAATATTATATAATTTATAATACTTATATTGAACTGTGTGCTAGAAAATAATTTCATTAGACAAAAATAAACTATAAAATGATGATTACTTGTTTAATCCACTTATGGATGATGGGTCATCTAAAAATTAATAAAAAGTTTGACCTTCAGTCTAATAAAACTGTAGATTCAAAAACAATACACAAAGAACTTCCTACACTGGCAAATACCTATACAGGMATATAATTATTACCTATACAAATATAATTACAGTTCATATAAAAATTGAACTTAAAAATATGGTTTCCCAAAAAGTAAAAATATACAAGAGGAAGAGTCATAAAAGTAATGTGGTAGTAGGTATTTACTTTTGGGTATAAAATAAATGCTGCCTCTCATCTGAACTTATTTCCATATAATATTCATATCCATGAACAATTTTAAATTGTGATTCTAATGCAGTTTAAATAATGGAATTTAACTTAATTAATTATAATGTATGAATTAGACTGCAATAACTTAGAAATAGCTAGTAAAGTAATATATCTATCGACTTTTCAATATCAATTTATTATTGTATAACCTAGAATTGAACAGTTATACCTGTATTATTAAAAATATTTAATATTACGAGGAAATGTATTATTTATTTTTTTACACATAAAACATAATATATAATATTGATTACCTATAAAATAAGTGAGTAAGTGTTTATGTTTAATTTTAGAGACAGGCAAAAAGTCATAAACTTCGGAGCAGATACAGCAATAATATTAATAATCATAAGCGAGTTTTAAAATACGGGAATCCGAAAAATCTATACGCTAAAGACCAAAAACTCTACGCCTTACTTGATACCTAATACAGTACCTAATAMCTAATATATTGTACCTAATACAGTAATACTTAATTCTAAACAGATTTTACCTTGAAAACGGGTTTTTTTTTCAAAACCCTCGTACGAAGTTACAAATGTCCGGGTTCCAAAAAGCCGCGAGAGATTGGTATAATTTTATCGATGGTCGAGTTTGCTGCTTCGGGGACTCGTGAGCACAGACTGCGGGTGATTACTGATTGCGTGAATATTATATATTTTCCTATACCCAGATATTTACCATTATAATATTTTAATATTATGACGATGTTTTACAATGATGGTACTTTGACCAGGTTAGGCGGGACAACTACAGTCAACAACAACCTGAAATTTACCGAGTACCGACGGGGCAACGGTGACCAATTACGTTGACGGCAGCGGCGGAGCGACCACCATCAGATGAGCGGATTTTTTATAGGATGTGCAAAGTRCACGGACTACGGACGGACGGTTCCCCACTCACGATTATCGTACCTTCGTGTTCGTACGTTTCGCTTTGGATTTTCCTCCACAGGGCACAGATGGATATACCGAGAACCCGAATCGACGTTAATTATTTATTACCTATTATTAATTATTATTTTTATTGTTCAATGTTCAAACGATACAAAACGGAAGCGCCGAGTAAACAATAACAGGGCTTAAATAATAATAAATACACTAACATTATCATATAAATATATAATAATATAATATCACGTATTATTAATCATCATTTTGAAAAATTTACTTTGTATTCATAGGTATAAATAATTTTAATCGCATCTTTATTAGTGTTTGATTTAAATAAAAAAAACAATGATGTGATTAGGTAATTAAAATGGAAAGTATGGCAAGTATAAAGTAAGCAATTTATTATGTATTGTAGCGTTTTCTCACGTACAGGTGATGACATTACAAAATAGATATGTTATTAATTTAWTAACTAACTCGAACAGTTTGATAGTATGCACTGTATATTAATAAAAATGCTCCACGAAAGACAACACTCGTACTACCGTAATTTAGTTACAATTAATAAAGATCAATTAAAATATTCTGATCAATGAATAATCTAGGCGCTTAGAAAATCTACGTTTTGATGTTTTTATTTTTCAAGTCCAAAAAATTAATTCCAAAAAAACATACCACCGTGGAGGTGCTCGTACTAGTCGTACTCAATCAACATAAAAACCCGTTTGAAATTGGATCAACCGGGGCTCTCCTATATCCATATTATGCTTATCCTTCTACTTATCTTGTCCCTTRCGAGTCGCTCCCAAGGCCGTAGAGGTTTTTTGCTACCTATTCTCAGGGTTGGACGAGGTTGAACTAGCTCGTACTCCAACTGCACAAGCATTGATTTTTTAACCGGCCTCGGTGTCCTCAATATTTTATATTATTTAAACGTCAAAGTCTATAGTTTTGGCTATAGTTTAGCACAACAGATTAATTATCAAATGAGTATTTATTGTCTACGTCTTACAAACGTACAACACGGCAAATTGTACGTTCACACTAATACATTTTACTTTTTAAAATTAGATTGAATTTACATCTTATACAATTTAAATGCAAGAATATTATCTATGTTGGGTATATCGCAGGGGGTTATTTATGGGGGTGGCTGAGGGGGCTTCAGCCTCCCCCCCC